GGGGCGATGTTTTTCTCGAGCGAAGGCGCAAAGGGGGCCCCATTCTTTAAAAAAGACAAAAAAGAGGGATTTTTCCTTTTTTTTTTTGGTCGCCTCCTCGGCGTAAAGAGTAGTGTGGGTTTTTTTATAAAACGGTCCAACACGTGGGATCTGGGACCCCCCCGCGCTGATCCAAAAAAGAGAGCCTTATTTTTTTTTTCCCTTTAATTTTGGCCACACACTCAAAGTCGGGGGAAATTTAAAATATTCTGACCTCGGGATAGAATTCCCATATCCATTCGGAGAAAAAAGGGGGGGGGGGGGGGGGGGGGGGGGAGATGCTGGCTGTTCAGGGGCTGTTACAATATAAGACATATAGAACGTTGATATGGAGATGATATGGAGATATATGGAGATATGGACAGTCAAGCTGATTCTAGAGCTGCGGTTGTAACTAACACCTGTGGTATCTTGAAGGCACCTCCGCCAAACGCCGGCTGGGAAGACGAAGACATGCAGCGAAATTAGCAAAGGACACGACATACTTGTACATGCGGACAGAAGAGGAACGGGGTACATGGCAGTCAAAAGCTGAGGAAGAAGGGAAATAGCAACAGGGGGGGAATAGGAGAGATAATCAAACCACCGCCGCTATGGAGTTAAAATGGAGCGTAAAGAGAAACAAGGGGAAAAAAGGGGGGGGCTCCTGTTGGCTGTGATGAGGGATAAAGAAATAAAATAAATGAAATTAAAGCCATGTCGAGATTCTAGTTGACCGGCATCTTCATTCCGGGTTTCTGAAAAGCGCCTTGTACGCCGCCGTGGCCGCTGCGTAGCCATTCACGGGCTTTCCCAAGGTCCAGGATACACTCGCGGTGTCGTTCCCAGGCAACGTCCCAATGCTGCCGGACCACAAAGTCCTCCTCGATACCCCGGAGATACTCGCTGTAGCCCGCCTTGCCCTTGCCCACCAGAAGGTCCTCTTCTGCATCTGCAGAGTCGCCGTTGCTGCCGTCTAGTTTGACCCGGCTGCTGTCTCCCACCGCTCGCATCCAGCCAGGAGCCATGGCCGTTTCCACCAGGTGCTGACGCTCGTTAAAGTGGGCTAGCATAGTGCGGTTGAAGTTGTTCCACTCTCGCATGTAAGCTTGCATCTGCACCATGTAGATATCCCACGGTGTCTGCGGCAGAGACTGCTTCTCCATGGCCGTCCGAGGCATCGGTGGCGCCCCAATCATTGCAGGTGGTGTTGGTGCCTTAGGCGGCTTCGGTAACGACAGATCCCGCGGGTGGATGGGCCGCTGTGACGGCTTCTCGCTGCTCGCCGCCTTGGATTCGAACGGGAGTGACGAGTTTAGGTCCTTCAGGTCAGCGATGCCCTTCGAGTTGCTGGCCGTGAAGGGGTTGACCAAACCAAGCTTTGCCAAATTGAACAGCTCAGGCTTCCCGCCAGGTTTATTGGACGGCATAAACGCTGGACCCATAGAGAACTTGGGCTTGTTGTTAGTAGTATTGTTGCTGGCCTGGGCATTTGCTACGTTGACGGTGGGCAACTCTTCGTCCACGTCCATCTTATCAGCCATATCCATGGACTCGCGTTTAGTGCTTTTCTTCCCAAAAATCTGCTGAGGCGAAAACGTTGCCTCTTCTTCCTCTGCTTCTGAGCTTATCCTGACTGGCTTTGGTTCGTTTGCAGGTTTCTTAGAGTCCGTTTGATTCTTCTGGCCGCCAAAGAACATGTCTTGAGCAGTGGGTATGGTCCAGGTCTTCTCGTTCAAACTGTCAGGCAGCTGCTCAGCCGTGAACGTGGTGGTCTTGAATAGTGGCGGTCGGGCGTCTGGCTTAGTGTCCTTGAAGTCAAAAGGATTGCTGGTGGACTTATGTGGTGACTCGTTGGATTGAGATGTTGTAGGACGAGAACGAGACCGCGACCTGCCACCAAATTTATTCTGTGTTCCTCCCAAAGAGTCACCTTGCGTTGGCGCAAAGAACTGTGCATTGTTAGAAAAGGCAAAGTTCCACTCGGATGACGAAAAACCAGAATTGAAGCTTTCATAGCTTTTGCTCTTTGACTTTGCGTGTCTGGCAAGGCCTTCATTTTGAGCATTTGGATTGCTACTGTCCGGTTGGTCAAAACTGTGAATGGTTGTAGAATAGTTAGCTTCGGCCCTCAACGGAGTGCTGGAAGGAAATTCCCAATATTCAGAAGATATCTTTCGCGGTGTCCGTCCTGCATCGTCAGTGTTGAAGGCGGCGGCACCTCCCACCTCATCTTCATCCTCATTTTCGCCGTCTTCATCCTCCATTTCCTTTGGCATTTGGGGAGTAGTGAACGAGGCAGGGAGGATGTTGGCAGGGTAAGCCCACAGAGGTGGGACATGGGAAGTAGCTGAAACGCCAGGTTTCGGGGAGAACCCCCATTTCTCTGACCAATTTCGAGCTGAGGGCTTGGGGACAGGTGTAGTATTTTTGGGAGTATTTTTGGGAGTAGTCTTGGGTGTGGGTGTGGGTGTAGATGTAGGGATAAAGTCATACATAGTTGCAGCACTTGGCCTCTGTTCCTCCGTTGAGGTCGCTCTGAAAGAGCTCACATTAGGCATAGGTGGGATCGTGCGGCCCATCGAGGACTCGCAGCGGGTTTCTGGTGGAAAGGGGGCGTTGTTGCCGAATGTACTCGGGCCATACCCTTCGTGTTGATCGTCAGCATGCCAGTTCCATTTGTTAGAGCTCGGAGGCGGTTGGCTTGGGGAGCCGTTGATCTCAGTAAAGAGCCATGAGTCAGGCCCCATTGCCCAGCCGAATGGGCTCTCACCAGTTGCTGAATACTTGTTATTATTGTCATGAAAATTGGCTTTCCATGCAGAGCCATTGTGTGCGCGCCTGCTGCGTGGCACTGCCTTGGGCCGGGGATTCAAGATCACTTCGTCGGTATCGTCGGTTTCGCTAGAGGTTGTGGAAGAAGATGAAGAGGCGGAAAAGGTCGACTGTTTATTAGGTTTCAATTTTGGACTGGCACTATGCCGTCTGTTGGAATTTGTAGCAGAGTTAATCGGACTCGGCGGGTTCGTCTGGGGTCGGGAAGCGGTCTCTTCACGGACACTAGAAGAACAGTTAATACCAGCCTTTGGAACGTAAGTCTTTTCTCCGCCAGATTTGGCATATTTGCTGCTAGTTCTGTGGAGGTTAGGTGTTGGCGGGTCAGACAAGTCATCATATGGCTGCGGTTTCTTCGCAGTTGGCGACGGAGCCGTTGAGAAAAAGTAAGACATAGGATCCGAGTCTCGATTCCTTTCACCTCGGAGATTGTAATATGAGGTTGCACACTTTGCCATGGGCTCATCTCCTCCAGCCGTCCTTGGTGCAAATCCGTTCTTTGCTTTCGTTGATTTGGACCTTTCTGGAGTAGGCGTCTCTGCCGCCTTCCGCGCTTCCTCTGCAAAAGCATGGTACGCCGACTGACCCCTTTGGTGTGATGCACGCGGTTTGGAAGTCGGTTTCTCCTGGGCACGTCCAGTTCGGGGGTCAAAGCTAGTCCATCCACCAGGCATCTGAGGCTGGGGTTGTTTATTCTTCATATCCTGGAAGCCCTGGAAGGCCTCAGCCCTGGCGCGGGACTCTTCATAGACCTTATCAAACTTCTGCGCGCCTGCCTTCGCGTAACTTGCGTATCTTTGTGCCCCAGAAGACGGTGGAGGCGG